GTCCTATTCCCCTCCAGGGGAAGGATACTGCAAAATCTCTATTCCCTCCCCACTCCAGGGGAAGGATACTGCAAAATCTCTATTCCCTCCCCACTCCAGGGGAAGGATACTGCAAAATCTCTATTCCCTCCCCACTCCAGGGGAAGGATACTGCAAAATCCCCATTCCAACCCCACTCCAGGGGAAGGATACTGCAAAATCTCCATTCCTACCCCACTCCTGGCGGAAGGATATTGCAAAATCTCCATTCCCATCCCACTGCTGGTGGAAGGATAATGCAAAATCTCTATTCCCACCCCACTCTGAGGCCAGCCAGAGGTGGTATTTGCCGGTTCTCCAAACGACTCTAAATTCCCGCTACCGGTTCTCCAGAACCTGCTGAATTTCACCCCTGAGTATATTGCTTTGAGCTTCCAGAGAAGAAGTAGGAAGTGAAACAAATAAATAAATGAAGTGGAAATTGTGGTTGTTTTTTTTAATAACCGTTATGGCTGTTATGCACTTGGGGCCACTATTGACTTATTGTCAAAACTAAGGAACATGAAGGAGGCAACAGCACACTTAAAGGAATTGTGGGCAATAATTCACTTCTGCAAAAAATGTCCATTCAGGACCAGCCACAATCCATCGCCAACAATTGTTGAGTCTCTGTTGGAAACAGGATGGAGTTAAATAAAAAAACACACAACCTGGAAGAAAGAACAGCAGAGTAACATAAAATCGGTACAGGAGTACTTCTATTAGGAACAATCGGTTTGTGTTGTCCTTCTTATTTATCGTTCCTAAACCTTTATCCCCCCTCACTCTTCTGCAGATTGGCGGATCATCTAAGGAAAACAAGAGCGGCCATTATTTTCCAGAAACAATATCGAATGTTAAGGATACGCCGGGCCTACCAAGCCATCCGTCAAGCAGCTATCACGATCCAGTCCTTCACCCGAGGAATGTTCGTTAGGAAGAACTATCAAAAGGTTCGTTTCTTTGACTTTGAATTCCAGACCACACAAATATTTCAGTAATCCTTTTTTTATTCTGATGCATTCTTCATGGAAGTCGGATACAAGTCGTCCTTGACTTATGACCAATCATTAAATCGACCATTTGGAATTAGGGCTACAGAAAGGTCTCGTAAAGAGACTTCTGGCCATCGTAAAATGTTGTGCAAATAAAGAAGGGTATTTGTAGCTCAGGGTTGCAATGAGGGGCTCCTTGGTGCTCTCTGGGCTGGTTTTCTTGTAGATGTTTCATTACCCAAACTAGGTAACATCATTAGTGCATCATTAGTTTCTGTAATGAAATGTTTGCAAGAAAGAAACCAAGCTCTGAGACCACCAAGGATGCCTCAATATTGTGCAGCCCTATGCAATCTGATTAGTGATCACATGACTGAATTTTGGGCACTTGGTGACCAGCTCAATTTAACAACTTGTTGAAGTGTCCTGCAGTCATGTAACCATGGAATAGAATAGAATAGAATAACAGAAAGGACCTTGGAGGTCTTCTAGTCCAACCCACTGCCTAGGCAGGAAACCCTACACCACCAGACAAATGGTTATCCAACATCTTCACAAAAACGTCCAGTGTTGGGGCATTCACAACTTCTGGAGGCAAGCTGAACCACTGATTAATTGTTCTAACTGTCAGGAAATTTCTCCTTAGTTCCAAGTACTTCTCTCCTTGATGAGTTTACACCCATTGCTTCTTGTCCTGCCCTCAGATGCTTTGGAGAATAGTTTGACTCCCTCTTCTTTGTGGCAACCCCTGAGATATTAGAACATTGGTATCGTGTCTCCCCTAATCCTTCTTTTCATTAAACTAAACATACCCAATTCCTGCAACTGTTCTTCATGGGTTTGATTTTTTTTAAAAAATGACAAAAACCCTCATTCGGGTGAATGGATTCAGACCTACGACCATGTAAATCGCTCAACAATCATTGTAAAACAGTCATAAAATTAGGTCTAGTCATGTGGGTGCCTTGACTTATGACTGAAATTCCAGTCCCAATTGTGGTTGTAAGTCAAGGATCACCTGTATAATCTTTAGTGTGTGAACCAAGTTCTTGGGTACATGCCAACATATCAAGTGCTGGATATATTACCGTATTTTTTGGAGTATAAGATGCACCTTTTCCCCTCAAAAAAGAGGCTGAAAATCTGGGTGTGTCTTATACACTGAATACAGCATTTTTAGCCTCCCCAAACCCTGCCCCCTTTGCAGAAATGGACATGCATAGCTTTTAGAAAGCTTTCAGAGAGCTGCTGGGGGCTGGGGAGGGCAGAAATGAGTAAAATATGGGCTGTTTCTGCCCCCCCCAGCCCCCAGGAGCACTCTACAAGCCTCCTAAGGGCTATTCATGCCCTTTTAAAAAAAATGGGCCTGTTTTTGCAAAAAACGGGCCATTTTTTGGGAGGTTTGCAGAGTGCAAAAAATTTTTTTAAAGAATTTTCCTCTTCAAAACCTTGGTGCGTCTTATACTCCTGTGCGTCTTATACTCCAAAAATACGGTAGTTAATTTTCTTGTGAAGGAAATTAAGGGAGTTCATCCTTTGTACTGTGAACCAGAGATTGTACATATATGATTTTGCATATCTTTGTTGCCGTGGTTTTGTTTATTATTTCACAGTCAATCACAAATATAGTAAAACAGATTAAAAACAAATACTCTAAAAACAACTGCTGAAAAGGAGCAGATAGGTGTTAGTATAGTTATTGGCCAATAAACACCTGCCACTTTTTCCCCTTTAATTCAAGTTGGACTCTATTGCAAAACAGCAAAAAAAAATCATTATGTTAAAGATAGATAAGGATTCTGAGGGCCTCAACAATGCTACCAGAGCATCATCATCACTTTTAAAAAATGTTCAATCTGTCTTTAATAATGTCTTCAGTCCTGCGTAAAATTTTGCTTCTGAATTCCTGTTGTCTTCAAGTGTAATTTAAGCTTCTTGCTCCTCATCTGGATTATGTCTTGACTTTATTCGGAGCTAGCAAAATCACTTCACACTCGGTTGTAAATGTCAAATTTCAAAACACAACGTGTTTTCTGTGAGGCATTTCTTGGTCTTCATTCTCTAATTGTATAAGATTAGTAACAAAATCGACATCTCAAAATGTGATACACTGGGAGTCCAGGAGTAGGTGGATCGGGCCCAGTGTTCTCAATCCTTAGTAGCAGCTCCTGTCAAAGTCTTAGATAGATGTCTTCTCCATCAGCTTCCATGGTTTGTGGTATCTCTTCCTCTTTTGTTGGTAATTAATCTGGAAAGTCAGCCATTCGTCCCATATATAAAACCTGAGCACGAACCTTGGTATTAATCCTATAATTTAGAGGTTCCCTTTTGAAATCCTCAAATGGATGTCTTCCTGTCCAGAGAGTACAAAGGTTTTATTTTCTTTGAAGTAACTTTCAAACTGCTCTTGAAGGATTAACTAGTCACAAACTCAACAGGCTATATCCAGTGTTTCTTAGCATGCAAATGGGTAGCCTGTTGCTAAGAAGCTAGATAGATTGGTTGCTTGACAGGTGAGGGCTAGAGGTTCTAAGAATAGTAACTCACACCCTTGTTACCTCTAGATCAGATTATGTCAGTGTGATATACCTGGGGCTGGCCTTGAAGATTACCCAAAAATTGCAATAGGGGTAAAAAGCAAAAGACCCTCTCTGCTACTAGGTCAGAGCGAATTAACTTGACAGTATCTAAGCTGTAGAAACCCGCCTTGACTTTCAGTAGGTTTCTGAGTAAAACTCAAGAGGTTGGTAATAACTCATAAAACAAGTTGAACTTGAGGCCAGATATCTTTAGGACTTCTCCGAAGAGGTTTATTACATCTGGGAGTAAATGCTCCACACTTTCTCAGCCCAGGAGAATAGAAGCAGAGCTTTGTAATGATTGTCTGGCTTCTTCCATAAGTCTCTCCATTGAATTCCAAATGGTCCCTCCTCCCCCCCCCACCCCATGGGTATGTTTAACTGTCAAGAGTTGGCTTCTTTGGCAGGTTCTTAGAGACTGAATGGCTTCTCTTTGTATTCTCATTTTATTCCTGTTTTAATTTAATATCATTAGCAATATTGATTTTATTTTTTATTCACCGATTTGAGTATTTGAATTGGGTTCTAATTCATTATGTGTTGAGATGCTGCACAATCTCTTTGCATCTATTAGCTGTTTTGACCACTCGGGCCAACCTGTAGGAGAAGAGCAGGAAGAGCCTGGTGGGGGAGTTAAGCAAGTAATCAGCCTAGAGTCCTTGCATTCCCACAAATGGTCTAAATCCAACCTCTCTTGAATTCTGTTGACTCTTATCTAGCATCAATTTAGTCCTGACAGTTAGTTGGCTAAATTTCTGTGCATAGGCATGAACAACAGATCATCTTAATTGGAACAGCAGTAGCACTTAAGACTTACATACCGCTTCACAGTGCTTTTACAGCCCTCTCTAAGCGGTTTACCGAGTCAGCCTCTTGCCCCCAGAAATGCTATTGTATAGTCTTGATTCTTCACACTTGGCACAATCTAAGGGAAGAAGAGAGGATGGGCAGGATGGGAAAATCTCTACTTCTTGTCTCAGTATCTACTTGTCATCTGGATTGTGCTTCGTTAAATGAATCACAGTGTTTAAAGACAAAGGAAACTTGCTGTCAGTCTTTCTCATGACAAAGTAGTTTAAATGAAAGATGTTTTTCGTGATGTCCATGTATTTCTGAGTGAATGCATCTAATGAAGCTAGGGGAAGCATTCACTGATACCAGGGCAATCTGTTCTCTGCAACCAAGACTAACTGCATTATAACCATTTACTTCTTTCTAATGAGGCATTCTGCTACTTAACGTCTTGGAATAATTTCAACACTAATGAGGGACCCTTGCTGAAATCAGATGATCCCCAACATTGAACGCTTAGAGTTTTCGTAATTTAGCAATCTATAAGTGTTTGAAAATAAGGAAGAAGTTGAGAGAACATTATTTGGAAGTGTTTGCTGTAATTAATCCCTGATGGGTTACCTGTGAATGTACTATATAGTCTGGGGACTTATATATATATATATAAGCCAAATATCACTCACTCATCACGAAATATCCAGAAATGAAAAGCCTACAAACTTGAAATTTGGCACGTATATTCCTCTTGGCTTCTTGGTGCTCGCTAAAAAGAATTTTTCAACTTGATCATCAAGTTGATGATCATTAGTATTTCTTATACAGTAATTAATATGCTCTGATGCTAAGGAGTTAGACATTCTACTCCCCCTCCCCACCTGAAAAGAACTCTGTTCCAATTGCCAGTTGCCTCACATTCCGTTACCTCAGTTCAAACTGGCAGATGTTCCACTCCTTCACTCAGGAGCGGTCTGGAGCTCCTTACAGTACTAAACATTGGTATCTCACCAAAATGTCTACGCCTTCCATCTTTGGAACAGCTTCTGGACTCAAGGCGGCGGGAGCGATATTCCCTTATGTGTTTCAATCACCAACCATCATTGAGCCAACAGATTGTGATCTGAATTTCTCCTGCATAGCCCGATCACATAGATTCATTGCAAAGCACAGGTATCCAGTTAGTAATATATATAGGAAAGCTCAAATGTTAACTTAGTGAGGCACTATTGTCCCATAACTTTTAGCCTTGTCTTCCCTTTACTTTTGGCATTATTTAATAATTACCTAACAGGAAGAAATTCCTGGACTACATAATAATATTTCATCTTTACCTATTTAAAGGCATAACTTGTTAGTGTACGTCACTTATGTTTCATTGATACCCTCTGTTTCTTCACTAACTCTTTCTATGTGGGGGTTAATCTTGCCAACATTTTTTGATCGTTATAGCTAGGACTTTTCTCTCCAAATGGTCCCCCCCCCGACTCAGAACTTGACTCACTTTCAGAGTACAGAAGCATAAACTGTAGATATTTCAATGTTTAAGCTACACAGACAGAAGCAATTTTTCTCCAGTTCTTAAGAGGGCTAGCTTAATGAAGCCACACGGAGAAGAACTTCAGGGCAAAATGGAAAGATTATCTAACATCAGGCTAGAGAGAAGAAACTTCACACTTTCTGAGCTTGAGAGACGCTACTCTCTGAGTTTGCCATTGTCATTAGTCTTAAACCAGGGTGTCTAACCTTGGCAACTTTTAAGAATTGTGGGCTTCAACTCCCAGAATTTCCTAGCCAGCCATGCTGGCTGGGGAATTCTGGGAGTTGAAGTCCACAATCCTTAAATCAGTGGTGAAATTCAATTTTTTTTACTACTGATTCTGTGGGCGTGGCTTGGTGGGCATGGCAGGGGAAGGATACTGCAAAATCTCCATTCCCACCCACTTCTGGGGCCAGCCAGAGGTGGTATTTGCCAGTTCTCTGAACTATTCAAAATTTCTGCTACCAATTCTCCAGAACTTGTCAGAACCTGCTGAATTTCATCCCTGTCTTAAATGTCTATGGACATTCTCAGTCATCCAAGGCCATGATTGTCCCAAAGGTGCTTTTTCAAAAGGCAACTGGACTTTCCTTGTTTTTCCTTGAAGATGTTTCGCTTTTTGAGCTTTAGTTCTTCAGAACTGAAGAAGCTTCTTGGATGAAAAGCGAAATGTTTCCAAGGGAAAAACAAAGAAAAAGTCCAGTTGCCTTTTGAAAAAGCACCTTTGGGACACAAGTCTTAAAGTTGCTAAGGTTGACATCCCTGTCTTAAACTAACATTTTAACCGCTGCTTCTTAGTAGCGTATGGATTCTATTGTTTATTCGATTTTATCCCACCTTTTTGCTTTTAGGGGACATAATAATGAACCAGTATTCATTTTGGAGCAATATCAATTTTGATCATTTGGCCACTACAGAAGTGCGTACATGTTAATGACTGTTCACTGTTCACAATTGCCACAAATATTTTACATTTGCATTCCTCATATTCATGTCGAGTTAGAAACTGTTGCGTGAATAATACCACACACTTAATTTTAATACAATTACTTTATTGGAACGGATCCAGTTGAATGTAATGTGAAGATGGTAGAAAAAATAGATTACGGTTCTACTGAGACAAATCACTGGACTATTTTTAATAGATTAAATTGCTTACTGGCTCCTTGTTTTAATAGTAGCACAACTGAAACATTGACCCATATTTCTATATAATATCCATACCTGTAGTCAGTGTAAAGATGATGTATGGATTTAACCTTATTTTTGGAATGGTTTGATATGTTCAGCCACAAACAAACTGTACAGAATACATTTTCAAAGCACGTTTAGCTAAAATGGAGTGTGTTAATTTATATAGTGAATATTAAAACTTTGGACTTATGGCAAACCAAATACAGATTTGTGTTTATATGGCTTACAAGTTATGGGCCATTTTTTATTCTGATACTCCGTTTTATTGATCTCAGGGTTCTAGTAACACAAAGATGTCCTTGCAAACTTAATACCCAATACATATTCATATGTGATTTAATTCACCAATTTGTACTTCGCAGCAGGAATATCCTGGGACAGAGAAACTCCGTAATGTGCCTCTTTCCATTTTTGCACATTTTATAACCTCCTAGCCTTAAGTTCAATGGTGGGATTCAAATAATTTAACGACCGGTTCTCTGCCCTAATGATTTCGTCCAGCAACCGGTTCACCAAACTGCTCAGAAAGTTATCAATTGGTTCTCCCGAAGTGGTGCAAACTGGCTGAATCCCAGCACTGCTTAAGTTGATGATGTAATATTGACCTAGGCACCATAATGAATATTACAAATATTTGGAGATTTGGTGACTTCTTAGACAGCTGAATGGACTCCTAAGGTCAAAAATAATATTTCAGTGCCATTTCTTCCTCATCACCAAGTGCAGAAGATCAGATGGCCAAACAATAAAGCATTGCTTGCTGATGAACGATGGTCATCAACCTTCTCTAAGTAGATGCCTGAATTGTTCCCACGGACCACTTGTGAAATTTTGTGGTGGGAAATTTTCTTCCCACAGTGGTGCTGTTCATGATGTATTGAATTTCAACTCTCATAACCAGTCATAATACAAGCGGGGGATTATGGAAGTTGGAAGACATCAAGAGAGCACTAAATTAAGAACAGCTCTTGTATATTAACTTTCTGATGCCTTTGATACTCAAAAATTGAGACTTTCAAAAGCTGTATATCCTCTAGAGGTGTGGTCTTAATCTTAATCAGGATGGCCCTCACTGAAAACATTGGGAGTCATTATAAGCAATACAATACAATAGCAGAGTTGGAAGAGACCTTGGAGATCTTCTAGTCCAACCACCTGCCTAGGCAGGAAACCCTGTACAGTTCCAGACAAATGGCTATCCAACATCTTCTTAAAAACTTCCAATGTTGGAGCATTCACAACTTCTGGAGGCAAGTTGTTCCACTGATTAATTGTTCTAACTGTCAGGAAATTTCTCCTCAGTTCTAAGTTGCTTCTCTCCTTGATTAGTTTCCACCCATTGCTGCTTGTTCTATCCTCAGGTGCCTTGGAGAATAGTTTGACTCCCTCTTCTTTGTGGCAACCCCTGAGATATTGGAACACTGCTATCATGTCTCCCCTAGTCCCTAAACACTTTTCATTAAGCACTTTTTGATTATGCTCTGTTGAAAAAATCCAGATTCGTATTTATCATTAGAGAATGATCAATGAGAACTAGAATGTCCTAGATGGTGTTCAGCAACGTTGACGTATGCTACCATATTTCTTCCCTGTCTTCTGTATGTTGCTATGTGTTCATGCGCTTTTAAGATACTTATGGAGTACAAGGCCATCGTCCTCCAGAAATATACTCGAGCTTGGCTGGCTCGGAAGAATTTCACCAAGTTCAGATGTGCGGCTGTGATGATCCAGTGCTATTTCAGGCGCATGAAAGCCAAGCAAGAGCTGAAAGCTCTGAAGATCGAGGCCCGGTCAGCCGAGCACTTGAAGAGACTCAACATTGGCATGGAGAACAAAGTTGTGCAACTACAGAGAAAGATAGATGAACAGGTAAAATCCCACCCGGTCTTGCTCTGTTGTGTCAACCCATGTCTCCCCAGTGTTCTGCATGGAACTATTTGCTAGTGGTGGCCTCCATTTTGTTTGCCTCTGTATCCACAGAATATTGTCCAGCTCTACAATGTGGTGGCTCAGTGGCTAAGACGCTTAGCTTGTCAATTAAAAAGGTTGGCAGTTTGGCAGTTCGAATCCCTAGCGCCGCGTAACAGAGTGAGCTCCCGTTCCTTGTCCCAGATTCTGGCAACCTAGCAGTTCGAAAGCATGTAAAAATGCAAGTAGAAAAATAGGGACCACCTTTGGTGGGAAGGTAGCAGTGTTCCATGCGCTTTTGGTGTTTAATCATGCCGGCCACATGACCACGGAGACTCTCTTAGACTAAATAATACATTTGTGAGAAATCCTTCTTTGTTTGAACTTCTAAATTTACCTTCTTGCCTGATACCTCACATCAATGTCAAGTTTGGGACCTGAGCATCTGATGCTTGTTTGCTATGGTTTCATCCCAAAACACAGTCATCTGGGAGAAACTTTCTGTTGCTTATTCCATTGATATTTTCAGTACTTCAAAGGACCATTTTAATAAAGGGTTTGTTTTAAGGGTGGAAATGAGCTGCAGAAAGTTGCTTGTGAGGGCATTTTTACAAAGAACAGGACTTCAAAGATTTTGAATTCTTATGATGTGAGTCTGTGAGGTTTTTCATGTACAGAATCAAAATTTCTAGATTTTCACTTCTAGCGTCACAGAATTCCTGGAGTTTTCCTTTTTGAGAAATTTAAAAGGCCTCTTTACCATTTGTTTAATTCTTACAGTAGTTTCAAATTACATGCACAGATGCACTGATTTATTTCTGTAAAGAATTAAGAAACATTCTCATAGCTATAAAATTAGTCTGCTTTTTTTTGGTAGTTATCTTCCAGGTTCTTGACATAAACTGGTATGATTTTTGGGGGGGTTGGCTCCCAAAATCTATATATAGATTTCAATTTCAACCAAACTTGGTACACAGATGATTTACTGTCTGGAAACAAATACTGTGGGGGTAAGAGACCCCTAACATCCCTCGGTGTGTATGTTCTGTTAAGAAACCTATTGTGCCTTAAAATGGCTTCTACTGTACTGCCGTAAAATGGCTTCTACTTTACAGCACAGTGGAATTGCCACGATAATGGCTTCACAGTACTCAACAAGGGGGCTTCCTTTGGTAAGGGGGAAAATCCAAAATTAGAAATTATGTTTGGTCCGGACATTTTCCCCATATAAATAAATACCCGGGCAATGCCAGGTTATATCTAATGTTATATAAAATCAGTGAAATGTATATATATTAACATACAAGTCATAAATGTGATGGCATGGAATAGTTTACTTTCACACCTGTGTAGATGTATAGACATAGCAACACATCTAATATATTTGGGAATAATTATATTATTTTTATATCACCTATCAAATAAATTATGTTAACCAACTTTAAATTAGTAAGTTATAAAATGAAATGATACCAATATAGCTTTTAATAGAAGAGGATGCATGTACCGTGTTTCCCTGAAAATAAGACAGGGACTTATTTTCTTTATAAATCCGAACCGAACCGAGCACTCTTAACAACCTGCACCAAGGATTACATCAGGGCACTTAGGGCAGCAAAGAGATCTT